CATGTATTGCAGACTACATAACTTGTTTTAGGATGGTCAAAGTGGCCCTGATTCAAAAGACTTGAAACTGAACCTCAGGCATGGGGAAAATTGACCAGCTGCGAGTACAATTTTGCCTGCCTGGTTTGACCATGTAATGAAAAGTTTTTCCATTTTTTTAAAAAGTCTTGCCCACCTGTGAAAAGCAGTTGCCCTCCTGCCTGCTTAATCCTTCGCCCAATATTATAAATGTACTTAGCATGTACATGTAACTGCATCTCCACACAATATTATATTTTGGTCAGTTTCATAGGCCAGAAAAAACTGCAATTTCAGAATGTCTGAGTTAAAGTTGAAGTACATTTAACCTTGAATGCCAAGTTGAATCTACATGAAGTTTCAAGGGACCTCCTACAAAAAGTAACTTTTACTATACTAAGGTCGCCACTATTTAGGTACATGTATTCATGTCATTCACAAATTATGTTTAAAATAGAGATAAAAAATCTGAATTTCTAAACACGTGACTGCAAGTAGGTACATGTAAATCCTAGTTTGGCATTTTGTGTTATTTTCTTCACTGATACCATTCTTCAGTGAGGGAACAGCTGACATATTATATATTGGCATATTGGTTTTAGTAAGGCTGATAATCAGGCAACTGATGTACGTTACTAATTGGTGTACCTTCCTGTTTATGTCTAAATCTTGTCTTCCCAAAATGGTTCCTTTTCTCAAGTAATTGTAGGCTCAATTTCCACCGCTCTCTCAAGTCCGGTCTATGTTCCTCCTGGGGAGGAGTGCGGGGTCCTTTCCCAAACAGCGGCTGGTAATCGAGCCTAAAGTAACTGCCGATGTTATGTATCCAGACATGTACTGTATGCACCTGTAGAGGCAAATTCATTTCCGTAGTTACTAGCAGAAATATAAAGAGTGAAGTAGGGTATGTCTCGCTAAGAAAAGGTGCCCTGAGTCAAGCGTCTTTGCTCAGATGCCATACTGGGGTGTAATGTAAAACTTTTTAAATACCAATTAAATTTATTTTATTTATAGGTTTTTCTCATTCAGTATTTAAGAAACCTTTGCTATCTATTTTAGCCACATTCCTTCCTGAAGTCAGTTTTTAAACATTCACATCAAGTGGTGATGTATATGTGAGCTAATGAGTGACACAAGTGATTATATTTACACAAGTGTGGTAGGAATGGTTTTGTCTGAAATCAAGCAATGTTAATCGTTCACCTGTGCAACTAATCTATGGTATCCATTCTTCCAACTCCTCTTCAAAACTGTTGTTTACACAGTACAGAGGGGCAATGTTATCTCCCTGACGTCCAGGCATGACATTATACACATGACGTCTGGTGTGTTGATGTGGTGTGTACATGTAGTTGTCATGGTAACCAGGACACTCATGTGAAGGGCAGGCTGGTCCACAGTGGAACTTGACAAAGGAGAAATCCCTTTTACAAATTCCATCAACCATGGAAAACACTTGACGCAACACATATGCTGGTTTCATTCCTTGCATGTTGCTGTAAAATTTAATTACAAAATGATTGGCTTTGTTTCACAAAATGCAATTGAACAGTTGAACTAATGGTCATGCACCTCTAAACAGTGGTAACAGACTTCTAGTGAAGGCCAAATTGTTTTCAAGCCACTCCAGTGTAAACCTGATCAACACCAGCCTTGACCCTCTAAAAAAATAAGTTGAATGTGCATCTATTGTCAACCTTGGAACTAATGAAAATCAACTTTGATATACATGTATATGTATGGTTTTAAATATAAATATACTCACAACTAGCATTTGTGAGAATCTGGTCAAAATGTTATAACCTCAATCCCACGCAATGACTTATATAAATTGATTGATTGATTGATTGATTGAATTGATTGATTGAAGCCGGTATGTACAGCAGTAAAGGAGAATAAATATTGGAATTCAATGGAGTAGCTAACTGCTAGAAGAGCTGGGGAAGTATCCTTTGAATATCACATTTTAACCAGATTCTGCTAAATTTCATGAGTTTTTTCTAAAATTACCTGCAGCTGAATGTTACTTCAATGATTGCCTCTTCTTTCATCAGCTTAAGTCTGTAGGGTTGCCTGGGACTCATCCAGAACTTGCCAACATCTTTGAACATAACAACTGGACCATTTGGAAACTTCAACTTGCTGTTCTTGTGGGCACGAGATAGCAAGCGATGAAACAGGGGCTCTGGAAGGAACCTCTTGAAGAACACATAGAACTTCTTGTCTGTGGTGTTGACATCCCATGCGGGAATGTATCCATCTGCAGACATTGGGAGCAAGGATGGAACAAAGTGAGTTGGCTGGTGTTCTTCATCATCACTTAAGCTACAAATGTTCACCTCCTTGTTTGACAAGGGGCAGATCAAATCGAATTCCTCGAGGAATGCTGTCAAGGCTTCTTCGTTTTCTTGCACTGTTGAGATTATTCTGGTCAGCAGTGATTTAGTCAGCATTCCTTTGCGATGCAGAAGTTTCCAGTCACGTCTGAAGCCTCTTTTCTCTTTCATTTGCGGTGGTGGCGTGACAAGCTGGATGATGATATTAACCAGTATTTCAGGCTTTAGAAGGACCCATTTGGACAACTGTGGATCTTTGTCAAGGTATATTACCAGGCCTTTTTCATGGAAATACTTCAAGGTTTCTTCAGACCAGTTGGTGCAAATGAAGTTGTCAAATGCGCAAGGAAATTCTTTAAGTGTCACACAGAGCTTGGCTTTCTCCTTTTCCCTTTGATTGATAATTAGATCTTTGATTGCAATCCATGATAAAGGTATGTCACAATCTCTAACTGCCTCTCTTTCTTCGGCAACAGACATGACTTTTATTCGAAGGCTTTGGACTCCAACATCAATTTCTCCTTTGGAGTTTTCAACAGGAAAAAATATCAACTCATCAACATCATTGATAACTAGCTCATCACAGTAGCGGTCCCAAAGATGTTTCCTTAAATGACCATTTAAGATGTCCATGCAGTTTTTGTTGAAGTCTCCTCTGTGTGTTCCAACAAGGAAGATTGGTGTTTTGGATGGTACATGGCTACAGACAGATTCCAACCAGAACTGAAGCCTTTCAATGGCAGCATTGATATTCATATAGTTATTTTGTACATGCTTAGCTATGTTGAATACAATGATATACATAGCCTGGCTCTTGAGAAACATATGATGATAAGCATAGTATTCTTTATCTCCAGCAAAATCAAGGATCTGCACTTTGAGTGAGGGAAACTTTTCGTTCAGGGCACCTTTTAACATGGCCGTGTCAAGTTTTCCAATGGCCTTTAGTATTAGTATCATAAAATTGTTAGTTAGATGTCCCGGTATGTTAGGCATTGAACGAACGCGAAACCATTCTTGACAGCAACTAAAGCAGATAAATAAAGGGTATGTTATTACAAAATAGAATACTGGCGTAGTAATTGCCAATTTACAATGATAAAAGGCCGCTAAAATGAGTAGTATATTAAAAGGCCCCCATAATCCACGTTGTATTGACAACATAACGCTTAGAAAATTTTGGGGTTCGTTTATAAACTCAATTGGAGAGAGGAACACAAAATAAGTAATCGAATTCTTTACAGGATCCCAGTTTAATGGGATCGAAGTATTGAGTGTTTCAGTACATGACTCTTCGTCTAGTCTCGTAACCGATGTTGTTGCAACAAAGCCAATGATTACTCCAATAAAGATTGATAATAGCAACCGGCAGAAGCAGAGAATTGGAATAAAGTTGTGATTCTGTACTAGTCGACCTGTACAAAAAGGCATTTGAATTGGTCCTATCAGAAGAAAAAAAGCGACAAATGCAATGCCCACGCCTGTGCCCAGCGTGAGAAATGTACGAGTACTGGCAAAGCCAATATAACTTTCATCGAAATAACACATCACTAGAGGTAAATATGAACCAATCAAAAATCCGCGACTGCTCAGCATGAAAACGAAGGTAGCTGATATAAACCTTAAATTGTTGGTACTTTTGAAGTGGGTAATACCAATTAGAAAATTCATAAGACCAAGATGAATAAGGCAAATTAAACTACCTGTCAGAATTTTCACAGGAAAATTACATATCATTCCAACGAGTCCTAAAACGAAGAATAGCATTATCGTGATAAAATACACAACATTGACAAAGAACCGCCAGGGATTCGAGAAAATATTCATGACCTCTTGAAAAAAAGTTGCTGTTCCACTTGTGCTCAAAGCCAATACCACTTGGCCGCTTTTGAGGAACTTCCAAAGGTCTCCGAAGACAAGATCCTTTAAGTTACAGTTTTTCCACTCATTATCCACAAGACNGAATGTAATTTACAGTGCACCGAAACAAAAAGCAATGTTAAATGACAGTTAATGAATCTAAAATTCTTAAGAAAAATCAAAATTCTCAAAAGAGCGGTAATCAAATAAGGAAATCCTAATTCTGGTTAAAAGAAAGGTTTACACATGGCTCTCTTACTTTTTCCTTCCAAATCAAACCTACATGTAGTACTAATGTTTTTAACAACAAACTTTGTACATGTACTGTAACTTGTTTTAGGATGGTCAAAGTGGCCCTGATTTAAAAGACTTAAAACTGAACCTTTCAACCTGCCAGGGGTTTCATTAAGGGCTGGACACCGGGAAAATCGACCAGCTGTGAGAGCGATTTTGCCTGGCGTGCCTGGTTTGACCATCTAATGGAAAGTTTTTCTATTTTTCAAATAGTTTTGCCCGCCTGTGAAAAGCAGTTGCCCTCCTGTTGAAAACATTAATGAAACCCCTGTTTAACCCTTTGCCCAAAATTATAAATGTAGCTAGCATGTACATGTAACTGCATCTCCACACAATATTAGAAAAGACTGCAATTTAAGAATGTTTGATTTACAGTTGAAGTACATTAATTTTAACCTTGAATGCCAAGTTGAATCTACGTGAAGTTCCAAGGGACCACCTACAAAAAGTAACTTTTACTGTACTAAGGTCGCCTTAATTTAGGTACATATATTCATGTAATTTAGCCAATTATATTTAAAAGAGAGATCGCAAATCTAAATTTCTAAACACGTGACTGTGAAAAAGTACAGTGTAAATCTTAGTTTGGCATTTTGTGTTATTTTCTTCACTTGGACCATTCTTTGGTGAGGGAACAGCTGACATATTATTGGCATACTAGTGTACATCACTTGGTGTACCTTCTTATTTATGTCTAAATCTTGTCTTCCCAAAATGGTTCCTTTTCGCAAGTAACTGCTGATGTACATGTATCCAGAAATGTACTGTATACACCTGTAGATGCAAGTTCATTTGCTTAGTTACCAGCAGAAATATAAAGGGTAAAGTACGGTATGTCTCACTAAGAAAAAGTGTCAGAAGTCAAGCATTTTTGCTCAGATGCTATGTATGGGCTTAATGTAAAACTTTTCAACTGCCAATTAAATTTATTTTATTTATAGGTTTTTCTCATTTAGTATTTAAGAAAACTTTGCTACTTATTTTAGCCACATTCCTTCCTCAAGTCAATTTTTAAACATTCACACCAAGTGATGATTTATATGTAAATAGTGACATGAGTGATTACATTTGCACAAGAGTGGTAGGATTGGTTTTGTCTGAAATCAAGCAATGTTAATCCTTCACCTGTCCAACTAATCTATGGTATCCATTCTTGCAACTCCTCTTCAAAACTGTTGTTTACACAGTACAGAGGGGCATTGTTATCTCCCTGACGTCCAGGCATGACATTATACACATGACGTCTGGTGTGTTGATGTGGTGTGTGCATGTAGTTGTCATGGTAACCAGGACACTCTTGTGAAGGGCAGGCTGGTCCACAGTAGAACTTGACAAAGCAGAAATCCCTTTCACAAATTTCATCAACCATGGAAAACACTTGATGTAACACATCTGCTGGCTTCATTCCTTGCATGTTGCTGTAAAATTTAATTACAAAATGATTGGCTTTGTTTACCAAAATGCAACTGAACAGTTGAACTAATGGTCATGCACCTCTGAACAGTGGTAACAGACTTCTAGTGAAGGCCAAATTGTTTTCAAGCCACTCCAATGTAAACCTAATAAACACCAGCCTTGAACCTCTAAAAAAAATAAGTTGAATGTGCATGTACACTGTATTTTCAACCTTGGAACTATTGAAAATCAACTTTGATATAGATGTATATGTATGGATTTAAATATAAATATACTCACAACTAGCATTTGTGAGAATCTGGTCAAAATGTGATAACCTCAATCCCACACAATGACTTTAATAAATTGATTGTTTGATTGAATTGATTGATTGAAGCCGGTATGTACAGCAGTAAAGGAGAATAAATATTGCAATTTAATGGAGTAGCTAACTGTTAGAAGAGCTGGGGAAGTATCCTTTGAATATCACATTTTAACCAGATTCTGCTAAATTTCATGAGTTTTTTCTAAAATTACCTGGAGCTGAATGTTACTTCAATGATCGCCTCTTCTTTCATCAGTTTAAGTCTGTAGGGCTGCCTGGGACTCATCCAGAACTTGCCAACATCTTTGAACATAACAACTGGACCATTTGGAAACTTCAACTTGCTGCTCTTGTGAGCACGAGATAGCAAGCGATGGAACAAGGGCTCTGGAAGGAACCTCGTGAAGAACACATAGAACTTCTTGTCTGTGGTGTTGACATCCCATGCGGGAATGTATCCATCTGCAGACATTGGGAGCAAGGATGGAACAAAGTGAGTTGGCTGGTGTTCTTCATCATCACTTAAGCTACAAATGTTCACCTCCTTG